AACAGAGCGGATCCTCATAAGAGTGAAATTATATGGAAGTAATAAGTAAATAGGGTCTGATAGAAATGAAATATAATAAAAATGAGAATAAGCTGAACTTACTCGAAAATGAAGTGAAAGTAACGACTTAACGATAATCTCGATGGGAATTTAACGATGCAGCAGCAGGAATCGGATTAAACGATGTGCTCCGATTAATCGAATTCTGGCAAAAATTGGAATTCCCGTAAAAATAAAGTTAGAATAAATCCTAACGAAAACCAAGTAAAAATTAGATTGTATCGTGCTCACACATTTCACGGGAGAAATTTAAAATCTTCACAAAAATTAAATCATATGTATATACACACGAGAGTATAAAAATTAACGAAAAGTTTAATTAAGTTGCACTTGCGTGCAACTCTCTTCAAGATAGATAATATTAAGCGATTCAATAGCTATGAGAGTCCTAGTGAAGATTTCGAACAACTCCATGCACGAAGATTTCAGTAATAATTTAACGAGCGTTCGCCGAAGATTCCTGCGATCGTTATGCATCGCCTAACTAGCTCTTTCTTCACGACTCAATGATTTTACACTGGTCACCGATAAACGTGAATAAAGCAAGAAATTAAAAAAAAAATTCCGATGTGGTTTCACGATTTATCAAGGCACGAAGAGCGCTCATCGCTTTCGATTCATTTTTTATCGGAAAATATCGTTAGTGCCGCGCGCCATTAGAGCGGATGTAACACCGAGGAGGCTGGCTTTTACAATCGCGTTCTCGTTAGCATTGCGACCGAGCGAACGTAGCGTGAAATACGTCAAGCACATGGACACGAGCGATAGGAAGTGTTATACTTCGCGGTTGATCGACCAGTAGCTTCTTTTCAGCCTGTTTTACCGTTCAATTGGCCTGAAGGAAATTCAAATTTAAATTACGAGGTAAAACTGAACGCGAAAATCTAACAGAATAAATCAACTTTCTCTCTCTCTCTCTCTCTCTCTCTCTCTCTCTCTCTCTCTCTCTCTCTCTCTCTCTATTCTGCTTTTCTCGTAGCTTAATCGTTTTTTTTTGTTTTTTTGTGAACGATCGAAATATACGGAATATGATGGAAAAAACAACGGAAATCCCTTCTTCCGTGTATAATCGTATCGCTTCGTATTTTATGCCGACATATACGTGCGAGTTTTCAATACTCCCCGACCCGATATTCTTCAGTCTCCTCATCGATATAGGGGGTTTAACATCGCAGTGAGGTTTAACATTACGGCTATGCCATCCTCTTGGACTTAGAGGACGTAATGACGCCTTTGGGCTCGTCCAAGCCGTAATTTACCGCGTAAAGAGTATACGCCGCGGCTTTTTTCAGGGCTTTCAAGCGTCGTTAATAGGCCGGCGTTTTATCGTAAAAAGGATGGAAAAGATAAGGGCGGAGGGAGAGACGGGGGAACAAATATTTGAGGCGAAGAGAAAGGAAGAGAGAGAGAGAGAGAGAGAGAGAGAGAGAGAGAGAGAGAGAATGGATAAGCTATCTTCTGTGGAAATTCAGATCGCCCGCCGCTCGTCTAACGGGTGACGGCGAAAAAATCCCACGCTCTCTCGCTGGCACAACAGCGGCTCTGTGAGATCGGAAGCTCGGATCTCGATCTTGATCTCGATCGAGCGAAATACAATACCGATACCCAGAAAAATGAGAGAAATCGTCCGTCGCCTTCTCGCAGTCTGTCGACGGTTTATGATGCTGTTTTTCTTCGTCTAAAAGGTAATTGGAGCTAATTAAAATGCAAAATGCGCGACGGTGGTCCGTGAAGTGAGATTTCTCGATAACGCGGGATTCTCTTTCCACGGCTCTTTGTTTTTCTTCTTCTTACAGTTCCCCTTCTTCGCTACTCACTTATTATCTTGCGCTGACGTTCGTCTGTACAACTAAATATCACTCGCACGATTTATTTTTTTCCCCGAAGCGCGTGAGTCGACCGTTCAGTTTTTCGCTCCATTCTTTGCAGAATTTCTACAGACTTGATTTTTATGAGAACTCTTATGTTATCTTTCTTTTTAGATCGGAATCAAGATTACAGTATCGCGATGTTACGTTGTGTGCCTCTGCGAATTTTCGATCGTTATCTCGATGCGACGATGCAACAGGTAGGCATTCTTCCGCTGTTGCTATTTCGCACTTGCCCTGCCCTCGTCGCTCCGTCCACCGTCGCTCCGGGCGGGAAATATAAGCGGTAAGGTCCATTTAATTGTTACGAAACAAAGAAAAGTATAACGCGCGCTCGCTCGTCACACTTTACGAGATATTTCTCGGATATTTAACTTTGTATTTTACCTTAACACACATTTCGCCACTTTATTTATAGAACGGTATGTAGCGACGTAAAATGTTATTATCAAGTATGAGAACAAATAGAAATAACATCTTGATCGTTTTGGAGACACCAGATGAATTTCTCTTCATTTCGTTTATTCGCAACGAGCAACTTAAAGTCAAATTAAAGAGATATTAACATCGGAATTTAACGACTCGTATCATAGTCCAGGTAATTTTATTGATCGTTACCCAATCTGGGAGAAATTGAAATTTTCAAGGAATATATTTATAAATATAACATTATGCATAATTACAATACCGAATTGGTCAAATTGCCAGATTTGCCAGATTGGGCAAACGAAGAATGCAATGTAGGGAAAAAAAATTAAATCGCTTTACCAGCTTATAAATTACCACCGAGTTGGCAATTCGACGGCATATCGGTGACCAACATTCGATAATTGATTAATTAATTAGACATCGTCAAATCGCGATACGGGTTTGCAAATAATCACAGCCGGCAGGCCGGTTGGCAAACAAATGCACAAACGCAAACAAACGACGTTACGTTCCACGAATTTTAATGGCAAAACATCGACAGATTCCGTGTGACGCGACTTAAATATTAATTAGTTTATAAATTTAATTGCGTGCATTAATTCGCGCGGATTTTTGCGAAATATGTCATCGTCGGCGAATGCGTGTTGTTGCACAAGCTGCATTCCGGGAATCGACCGCAAGGTGACACGCTCTAACACAACGCGTGACGAGTGGACATATGCTGATGACGCATTTCCTCTCTTCGTAATTCAGCGTGTTCCAGCGCGATCCACGGTTTCGCCACACGATAACACAGCGCTACGTCGCGATATGATACGATATATTCCGAAATAAACGTGAGAAAATATCAATGGCAGACATCTATTTCTCCTTACTGTCAATTTTGCATTGACCGTTTCTCGGCAGACTACAATATCAACAATAATCATCAAAGATTCAAAGAGGGAAGTCGTAAACGCGTTGGAATTGCGATCGATGCGATTCAACGATGGGCATTTTTGGAAAAGGGAATTTAACATGGTTATTTTTCTCGGTGCACACACTCTTCCCTAACGTGGGTCCTTCGCCTAACGTGTGATTTTACTAGCTATCATTAATAATCGCACGCGTACATCATCGCGGAAATAGGGCGGCGCCGCTGCAACTGCAATCATCGTGCTTCCGCCATCGTCGCGTAATCACGCTCCCGATGCATCGGAAACTGAAGCGACCCTCCCATCTCGCGACATTTATACAGCGGTAATTTCGAGTCACAGACAGGCAAGTTCACCTCTCTCCGCTCTCGCTCTCTCGCTCTCTCTCTCTCTCTCCGCTCTCTCTCTCCGCTCTCTTTCTCTCTCTCTCTCTCTCTCTCTCTCTCTCTCTCTCTCTCCCTCCCTCTCTCTCTCGCTCTCTCGCTCTCTCCCTCTCTCACTGCCCTGTGCGCGATCTGTTAATGAATTATATAAAAGACTTTACCGTTCAGAAGAAAAATTTACAAAGTTCACGACAACGTGTCTGTCGACGCACATTTCAACGTCGGACAATATTAAGTTTGCACACAGTGACTTTTTTCAAGTATTAACAAACAAAATCTCTGTCTCTCTCTCTCTCTCTCTCTCTCTCATCGACATTTTCCATATTTAAAAATGTTTTCGCAAATTCGGTTAATGTTAATGTATCAGAGTGACGAATACTGCGGTAAACTGCATTCGGAACGGCGTTTTCAACGTTCCGAAGCTTAAGGTTAAAGGAGCCAGAAAATTTCGCCGACCAAACTCTTTTTTCCCAATTTCGTCCAGTTCTTCACTACGAAAATCGATCTGTTCTAAAAATATCGTTGGAAGATAAACTAGCGCATTAAAAATTGTGCGACCTATGTGGGACAGCGATTGCATGGAGCGGGAGACGAGGATTGTGCAGATAAAGAAGAGAGTTGACAAAATTTAGATAGCGAACGAGATGCTCTTGTCATCTCATGTTCAGTCTATACGTACTATCTCCCGACAACTCGACCATTTCGACCGAAAATATCGTTAGAAATGCGCCAAGTGGGAACTGAGCATTCCACGCGGAACAACCAATCGAACAGACCCGATAGGGCGATAGGGCATTGTGAGTATTCTTCAGCGCGCGATTATAACAAAACGTAATTCGTATGAAGGCGGCATGGAATAACGCGCACCTGTACCAACAGCACTTGTGTACGTTGTACGTTGTACACGAAGTGTGTACCGCGACAGGTACACACGCCCACACATCCACACACATACGCGCGTGCACGTCGAGATTACGTACGTTCGTCCCGACTGTCATCGGTATAATTGCGTTTGCAAACGGCAAACGCACTCGTGCATATGTGGCAACTCGCGCGTTCTGCAACGCGCGTAAAGTCGCGTTCACATCGGAGAAGGGAGACGAGAGCAAACGGACCGATCTCGCTATCGCGGTACGATCGTCTTTGACTGCACACGCGAATTTCGAAATTTCTGACGAATGGATGCGCAGCGCGCGGTGAAAATTAAAACAGAAAAAACGCTGATGACGGTCTACGTCATCAGCGATGACGCTGATGATGAGCTGAGCCGTATTCCTGCGAATTTCCTCGTTTAAATATGGAGACTTACTTCACTCTCCCTGTGTGAAAGAGAGATATCCACTCACCTGGGTGTCACCTTCCTCAACTCGGCGATCGTCGGGTTGTATTCGTGATCCTCGCCGCTAATTCTCGCCACGCCTTCGTCGACGTTTATCCCATAGCCGTTGACCACCAGATCGACCAAATCCGGAAAGTCATCGTGCTTCCTCGCGATCGACGACGACGACGACGACGGCGACGATGTCGGTGGCGTCGTGTCCGCCTTGCCGGATTTTTCGACGACGCCCGGCGTCGCGTCCGCCTGTTCGCGACTTCCGTTCATCCGTTGGAGAAATTTTCGCCGGAAGTTGTTGTAGACCGTATCGGCGTCCGGCCGCTCGCCCAGCTTGATGCGCGCATGACTCGCTACCAAATGGTGGCCGCTGTAGCCCAGGTCCATCTGCAGATCCATCACGAGCAACAGCGTGAACAGGATGGCGAATGCGCTGAGCGCGAGCACACACTTGTCGCGAATGCGAATCATCCTCATTTTCAGCTTCATCCTGCCGTCGTCCGTGGACCTCGGTCGGATAAACGGCGCACGTGGACACACAGGATTGCCTGACCGATTGGAAGACTTTTGTGAATCCTTTTGGCTCGCTCGTTGGTTATTCGAAGCTTCGGGATCACGGAGCACCTTCGAAGTGGACGAATGGTCGATGCCTGTGACGACAAGTGAAACGGTTAAGCTCCCTTCGGGGACTTGAAATTCGGTGGAATTCGGTCCCTTCAAGGTCCCCGGCGGCGGGATTTCTGTCTTGGAGACTGGTGTTTTGGAGGTTCTCTGGGCAGTTTCTAGCTCAACGACCAACCCTCTTCGGGTGTTATCGGAATCATCCGTCTCGATAGATGGATTCAAGGTTCCTTCGGGACTCTTCTCGTTATGCGTGCGATTGAGCACACGTTCCGATACACTTCCGGTAGACTTCACAGCAGAATCGAGTATCGAGTCTTCCGCGGAAGTGCCTACGAGCTGCTGCGCGCAAGAGGGAGTCCTCCCCTTCCTCCTCTCAGAGATCGTAATCTGCTCTTCGGGTAGTTTCACGATCAACTGACGAGGTTCCGCGTGTCTTCTCGAGACTGCAAGTCCGCATCTCGAATTGTACTTATCGGTTGACCCGCCGTTATCAGAGCCCGCTGACTCCCGACCCAGCTGATCCTCCCCCTCCTCCTTCACCTCCTCCTCCTCCTGCTTCTCCTTCTCCTCTTCTTCTTCCGGCGGTGGTGACCGCTTCAGTTTGTGTCCACGTTGCTCCCGCAACGTTTTCTTAGGATCTTGTAAAGCCCACTGCGAATTTTCCGGTGGAAGACGGCGTCTGTGAATAATCGCCGATCCATAAGAAAGACGATCTGTCGGTTGATTGCTTCTGGTCGTACGTTTAAGCCTCAAAGGCGCCACGGGCTTCGCACGGGCTCCTGTTTCTTCAATGATAGTTGAAGAACAAAGGTCCTTGGTAGATGGCGAATTATCTTGAACGATCTTTTCTGCCGGCTGCGACAACGGAATGTCTGTCTTTTGAGGTAAGAGGCAAACTTCCACAGTTCCCTCAAAATCTTCCTTTACCAATAAGCTTCTCTCTGCGAGGATACTCTTCGGCAAGAACTTAGCTTTCTCCTGCGTATTATTTGCCGTCAATCGCATTAGTTGGCCAATCGAAGTATTATTCTTCCTCGATAATAATGGACTCGTTCGATCATTCTGCTTCAGCAACGGTGGATTCTCCTGAATATCGTTCCTCGCATTTGCTCCCTCTTTTTCTGACGGTAAACGCCGTTGGTCGTTACTATCTGGCGGCAGTGCGCTTGGTCGATTACTCTTCTTCGGTGGCAGTGAGCTTCTTTCAACTAACGTATTTTCCCCGTTGCTCTTCTCCAATAGCGAAGAACTCACTTGAATATCTTTTCTTAAATTTCTCCTGATACCTTTTCGCCTTTCACCTTCTTTCTTTTCTTCTTCTTCTTCTGCTTCTTCTTCTTCTTCTTCTTCTTCTTCTTCTTCTTCTTCTTCTTCTTTCTTTTCCTCTAATATCAAACTCCGTTGATTGCTCTTATTGTCTAATAACAAACTTTCTCGAATATCCCTCTCCAGTGACAAAGGACTACCTTTAATATCCCTCCTTCTAGACCTTGGACTACAAAGTACGGGCTTTGGGCTTCTGTGACTGTGGACACTCTTCGGCGAATGACTCTCTCTGAAGCCCCTTAGCAACTTGTCGCACCTCTCACCAACATTCTCCCTCAGCAGCCTCTTGAGGAAGGATTCTGCTTTCCTAAATCTGCCAACAGCCCTCGAAGGATCATCCAGCCGATTCGACAGCTCGAGGGATCCGTCTATTAACCTTCGCTCGAGATCGCTCGACTCTTCTTCGTCATTATCTTCGTCATTATCTCTGAAACTGGATCCTTCGCATCTCGACTTCGATCTAGACCTCGATCCTCTACCGCGATCGTGTGCGCTATCTGTGGATGTCGGGCGGCCGGAAGTCGCTTTCTTCGCGTTGCCGGGGTCTACACTTTCGGAACATCTCCCGTCGGCCAGAGCTCGGGATCGCGAGAGACGATAGATCGCGGCGTCTCGACGCCCAGAAGTTAGCGCCTTGGACGAACGTGCTCGCGGACGGATCACTCGGCACACTCTCGATACACGCTCGCCTTTTGCCGTCGCGTCAAACACTCGTGAAAAATGCGGAGAAGCGAGAATTTACCGCTCCGTTCAGTTGGTCGAGCGCCCGATTAGACGTCGAGCGACTCGACTCTTTCTCGACGACCTGTCGTCTGAAACACAAAGAGAAAAATTGTCTCGAATATATGTTACGTTGCGAGAATTGCATTGTTGTTGCGTTACCGCGTCAAGCTGGCGCAATGGTCCTAAAATTAAATCTGCCTGAGCGAGATGCGCTCGAGATCTCTGCCGCGCCGCGGAATGCATGAAATAAACGCGTGTGTAAATGACACGTGTAAAATAATATATATATACATATTAATGCGTCTTTCCTCTGAATCGGCCTTTTAATTGCGAATTACTCGAGGATCGTGAAATTGAAAAATAATTATACCGCACGATGTACCTGCGCCACATGGTAGATGTGTAATTACACAAATTCACGTTCGATGCGCGGAAGCTTCGTGCTGCAACGTCGTTCTCCTTCGGTATTTAATCGGACACATCGCGTCGCGTTACGAGTTAATGCGTCGCATCGCGGTGCACCGCTGGCTGTTTCGCGTGTAATTCAAGTCGATAACGAGAGCCAGCGTTATTTTTATACGGTGCTGTCCGTCGCGTTTTTCCACCGTGTTATGTACCGTTACCGTAACACGCGCGCGCGCGCGCGCACGCACACACACACACACACGTGTGTGCGTTCACTTTGACATTTATATCGCACGTTATAGCGTGCGAAATCACGTTATAACGTGTGAAATCGGATAAGTGTAAGCATGCGGCGTGATGCAACTGTGATGTAACAAATGTATATTTTTACATTAGAAAACACACACGGGACGGATCCCGTAATCGGCGATACGACCGAGATGATGCTTCGATGAAGGGGAAAACAGCAAAAGGAAACGCATAACATAAATTCGAAGGTGCAGAGCAACGTAATGCATTTCCTGCATACCTGCTACGTGCCCGCTCGTTATGAAAGAAATTCAAGATACGGATACACGTGCGTCTAAACAAGATGGGTGGTATCTAGTTACTTATGTAAACTTATGTTCGGCGTACACGCACGCAACGCGGGATAGACGCGACGGGAAGAATCGGCTTTACGTAAGGAAAAAAATCATGCGCGGCTCCATTTGGAGAAATGAAGGCCGATGGTATCTCTTTGGTATCTCGGAAGTGACTTCCATCCATGGAAGTTATGCTGACCATGAGATCAGAAATCGCGATCGGAATTGGCGATCCGAATGGGCACTTACACCGTGTAACGCAAGAAGGCGAGCACGCTCGTTGTAAGTCGATGGCACGGCTGCATGTTGCATCCACGAGAAATCCGAGGCGTTCATTGAAATTCCGCGCGTCCCGCCGCCGATAATAAAGACGACCGTGTGTATGCGCGCGCGCGCGTGTGCGAGAATGTGTATGAATGTATAGATTGCGTACGCCGCGCGTGCTACGGAGATGTGTCTTCCATTTGATGTTTCTCTTTGCGAAAGAAAATGGACGCGCGGTCCCAGTCAAAGCTCCGGTCAGCGAACGCATGATTGCACTTTCCAAATGACTCAGCGAGCCTTGTTGCATCTCATTAGCGGCCGACAATTAATTAGCAATTATGTTACAGAATTGCGGGTTGGAATACCAAGGAGAGGTCGTTTTCGAAGCGAGTCTCGAGAGGAACATCTTCGGGAAACGAAGATTGGGCCGCGTAAAGCCATGCTCTCTCCATATATATTTTTTATACATCGATATACGGACCACCTTAGCATAAATAGTCTTAGCATCCAGCGCGCAATTATGTTGCTAATATTTTCTGTAACGGTAACGTACGTGTATTTGTTTCCGAACGTTAACATAAAGTTTAAGTATCACTGTGACAGACACGCTTTGACACATCGTTCTCGCTTCTTTGAATAATCAATAAATAATAAATCAATACTGCAAATTTCTAATAACCTAGTTACATGGCACGTTAAAGCTATTATACTGGCCTTTGTACGTTAGTTCGCTTACCTATCGTGCTCAAAAGCAATTTGCATTATCCTGGCAATATATATTTCAAAGTAAAGAGAAAAAGAAGGCTCACTCTCACACACACACACACACACACACACACACACACACACACACACACACACACACACACACACATATATACATGCACACTAACGATAGCGAGCGCGCGTGCATACCATCTCGGTTTTCCTTCTCACAGAAGCAAAATGGACCGATATAGGGATACTGAATTATGCAGCTTCGCTTCGATACGATGCCATTTGTGCTCTGTGTACATAATATATAAAACACACTCCCGCGTCTAGATATATATATATATACATATATATACGTATATCTATATATCTATATATAAAAGCCTCCTACCGTCGTTCCCGTCGCCTTTATGACACGACTCTTGCGATAACTGTAATGGCCACTCTCGCAACACGAAGCACCCCATTACCGTCACTCTATTTCACACTTGATATCCACCCCCTTGCATTCACTCCCCCCCGACTTCCCTCCGACCTCCCTCCGACCTACCACCCCCCTTAAAGAGCGCACCTTGACCCGGTGCGAGCGAGCGAGAGAGCGAGCGATAAAATGTCCGTAATGTCGCGCTTCTGCGCACGAATCCTTTTATCGGTACGCCGCCGTAGGTCCTCCAGGAGCCATCGATACAAGCCGGATTGGCTCGTTACATACACGAAATGTCGGATTCCGCGAGTGTCAGTCTTACAAAATCCAAGACTGAAAGCTCGCAATACGAGCGGCGTCTTTACACCTCACCGAGACGACGGCAAATCGAGAAGGAGATCGTAATTTTAGCGAGCCGTCAAAAGTCGTAGACGTCAAATTCCCGGCAGAGAAACATTCCCGTTGAATTTGGAACCGGGACGCGAATGGACTGTAATGTTGTGTGCTCTATCAAAAATTACTCGAAAATCACCGGGATACAGAAGTCACATACATTTCATATGCAACGATCCGATAAATGACACTACTGTTATATAAAGTCGGTCGTTGAAAACGATATTTTGGTCGCGGATGAACGCGACGCGATGTATTTCTTCGTGATGCAAAATACCAAATGCAAATGTAAACCATGAATAAGATAGTGCGTGAGCGCGATAGACGAACGGACTTCGCACTTCGTTCGTCTGTTCGTTCTCTCGTTGTTAAATAAAAGGAGTTTAATCTTGGGATCGACAGTTTGTACGACCTTCCACTCTATTTAGCTGAGCGATATCTCGATTATTTCATTCTGGATATATACTCTCCTCATCCTGTTTATATATACTTCCTCCTAAAAAAAAAAACAAAAAAAAAAAAGTGGATCACGCCACGCACAGATACTGCTTTCGTTACACGAGATAACACCCCGTAAAATCGCAGGCAACAAATGCAAATCTCATCGGCGATGAATGTTCCTAAAAAGCGAAAACAAATCCTATAAAAACAGAGGCAATGAAACGTTTTTTTTCACCGACGTGATTTTTAAGAGAAATTCGATTACGCGGAGAATTGCGACTCCACGAAATTTTCTTCCAGCCTTCTCTCTCTCTCTCTCTCTCTCTCTCTCTCTCTCTCTCTCTATCCCTTTCTCTCTTTAACTCGGCTTTTTCGCGCTTATTGAATCTTACGCGGAATTTGTTTCGTATATACGACGACGTAGGCAAAAAAGGGAAGAGAAAAAAAAAGCGGTAACCTCGGAGAGCGCAATTTTCAACGGGCATAACGAGCCTGCCAGCGGCACGCGCTATTTTACGCAGCAGTAAAAGAGAGGCAGATTGTCGGTAAAAAATCGTAAAAAACGAAATGAAACGTCGACGTCGTATGAAGAAAAAGGAAGAAGCGGACATGCCGCTGATAAAACTATTCATACATTATGCGTATTTACGTTCAATGTTACTACTACGTACGTGTGCGTTTGTGTTTTATTCTCAAACGTTTAACGGTGAATAACGATCAAAGAACATACGAAAGAGAAATGATATCTGTGAAAAGTGTACCGTTGCAAAATATCCAAAAAAGTCCAAGATACTCCTCCATGAGAATACGTAAATAATTAAATTACTAAAGTTATCGGAGAATGAAAAAAGAATTACCCCAAGACTGTTAAAGTCGACTGGAAAAAGCGACACGTAAAAACGGTTTGCGAAACAGTTCGGCCGCGAGAAAGAATTGTTCGCGCGCGCCAAAATTTCTTATCGTGCCCTTATCACGCAAATAAAATTAGGGCGGAGTAGCATGGTGGGTGGAGAGTTAGAGAGGGGGGATTAAGGCAGAATTTGTATCTGCGCTCGCGCAACAACACGAATACGAGAGGCGTTATCTTCCGGTATAACGGAGGGCGAAGATTGCAAGGAAACTGCAATTTAGAGCCAGCTCGAGCAAGACCGGCTCGTTAACGCCATTCGACCGCCAGTCGAACAAAAGATCCTCGCCTTGTTATATACAGGCGGTCATGAAAACAGCTAAACCTTCGTCGAATGCACTTGTCGGGACTGCGGTAAGTGAATACGCGCGCGGTATATAAAATTCAAATTTGTTAATGTTTATTTTAATGTCGCAGTTTTATTCCTCGCATTTTCATTCGTTTATAATTTTCCGCTCATCTTCGGCCTTACAGTTGCCAAGAGCAATGCTAGAAATTCGCCGCTGTGTGAAAGGGATCGCAATTTCTATATATACCAGGTATGTCGGTAATTACTTTCCGGTTTTTGTAACAGATGTCACTAGCCATAAGTATGCAATGTTATGATTTGATACATATGTCATTTTATTTTACTGACATTAACCTCAAAACTACACAAGCTACGTTCCGCCAAAATAACAGCGTTATAGATTAATAATTTTTTGAAAATGTCGAGTTTTGTGCCTGAAAACGTGCATTTCTGGCACGCATTACTTTTCTTGTCAAATCAAAAGAAAAAAGCCGCTGAAAGTCATCGTTTGCTGGTAGAGACTTACGGTGAGCATGCTCCAACCATAAGAACATGTGAAACGTGGTTTCGACAATTCAAATGTGGTGATTTCAACGTTCAAGGCAAAAAACGTCCTGGTAGGCCGAAAATGTTTGAAGATGCGGAATTGCAGGAGTTATTGGATGAAGACCCAACACAAACTCAAAAACAATTGGCAGAAAAGTTGAATGTGAGCCAAGTAGCAATTTGTGAACGATTACAAGCGATGGGAAAGATCCAAAAGATGGGAAGATGGGTGCCACATGAATTGAATGACAGGCAATTGGAAAATCGAAAAATCGTCAGTGAAATGCTGCTTCAAAGATATGAAAGGAAGTCATTTCTGCATCGAATAGTAACGGGTGATGAAAAATGGATTTATTTCGAAAATCCCAAGCGAAAAAGATCATGGTTATCACTTGGCGAAGGCGGCCCATCGATTGCAAGGCCAAATCGCTTTGGTCGCAAGACCATGCTCTGTGTCTGGTGGGACCAAGTTGGTGTCGTATATTATGAACTGTTGAAACCTGGAGAAACAGTTAATACTGATCGCTACCAACAACAAATGATCAATTTGAACTGTGCATTGATCGAAAAACGTCCACAATACGCTCAAAGACATGATAAGGTGATTTTGCAGCATGACAACACGCCGTCTCATACAGCAAAACCAGAAGTGTTGAAAGAAGTGTTGAAATCACTTGGATGGGAAGTTTTATCGCACCCGCCGTACTCTCCAGACCTGGCTCCATCCGACTACCACCTTTTCGCATCGATGGGGCACGCGCTTGCAGAGCAGTACTTCGCCGATTTCGAAGAAGTTAAAAAATGGCTCGATGAATGGTTTAGCTCAAAGGAGAAACAGTTCTTTTGGAATGGCATCCATAAATTGCCTGAGAGATGGGCAAAATGTATAGAATCAAATGGCCAATACTTTGAATAAATATATTTTAACTATCCATTGTAAATAACGTGTTTTCTTTAGCAAAAAAACCGGAAAGGAATTACCGACACACCTGGTAAAACTAAAATAAAATGTCTCTCTCCGTACGATAAAGATCAAAGTTCGAGTTCGACTAATTAATCGCGTCGGCAGGCATAAAATCCGTCGCGTTGGTGAAAGTAAGAGTCGCCATTTTTCGGAAACGCGTCGCCAGTTCCGTCTGGCTCATTTCCCTTTTTTCTCTCCTTCACGAAGCCGAGAGCAACGAGAAGCAAGACAAACACAGATTGCATTCGCTTGCACTTTTGCTTGCTTGCACTTCACCGCCTGACTCGCTCGGCCAGTTCGCCATCGCTTTCCTCGACGCGGAAACCTGTCGGTGCGGAATCTTTTCGCGCGCGTCTCGAGGCAAGTCTCGAGAACCGAGAAACCACGTTCGACATTTAGCAGTCTCGCGCTAGAGATCGTTTCTACCGCAAACAGGAGACCACGACGACGGATCGCCAATGTCCTAAGGCTCCAAGATTCCCGCCGAGCCACCGAGAGTCGCGGATGGACGAACAGACGGAGAGAGAAAGGGAAGGGCTTCTTAGCGCATATATTTCATTTCATTTTATAATAAATACCCGTTTTTCTTTTATTTATTTCTGAAAATTTATATGATTGAAGAAAAGAGAGATCTCCGCCGGATGCAAAATTATTTATGTACAACACACACAGCCTTCTCGAATTAATTTTACATCTGACACAACAAAAAACAGAAAAGAGAAATGTTTTCCATTCCAAAAAATGAAACATTTTCAAGAAAAAATATCTGATTGCACAAAATTGCGCGACAAAAGATTAATTGCACCTCTCTCTCTCTCTCTCTCTCTCTCTCTCTCTCTCTCTCTCTCGGCTGCATCGAGTCGAATGCACCATCCGTTTTGTGTTCCTTTCCCGAGGAAACCCCCTTTTTTCGACGAGGGGGTTGGAGGAAAGAGGAGCGGTTCTATCAAACGACGCCGGAACATCCCCCGGAATTTCACCCAGATGCTGTTTTTCTGCTCGTCGGCATTTCAATGAGGCACCCCGACGCTCTTATGGGATTAGTATGTACCTTCCCCTCCCTTCTATTCCCCCTGCTCATACCCCATATCCTTTTGCCGCCTCGCTAACGCGGAATCAAAGATAAATCCGAAGCCCTTTCTATCCTTTGCCCCGGCATGCGTTAAGGACGTGATTCTCGCGAGATCTCCTTTGTCACGTCGCTCTCCACCTTTTTCCAGTGAAACGGAAAAAAGGAACGGTTCGAATAATAAATTAATATTTGCGTCCGCAAAAACGACGATGAGCCCAAGCAGATTGAAGCCAGGTAAAACACAATTTCGCAATCGGAGTTTCTCTGCTCCCGTCCGAGTGACATTTCATCGAGAAGTGTTTGGCGGTTCGTTTATTTCCGCGATTGGATTTCGCGCGATCTCCGATTATTGTTCTTCGATAGTAATCGATTGCGTCGCGACCGACTAAGGTGCGCGCGTCTTTAGGCGCTGCATCTTAAGAGACGACCCGGTGCGAGGCAAACCTCTTGCATAATCCGCGCGATGCACACGTGCTCGCGCATAACAACGCATTATCCGCGCGGACTGCATGTATGCATGCATGCATGCATCTCTAGTCTTCGCCTCGGTCGGCGCTGCTGCGTTGCGCGTCTCGTCGAGCTCTCGAGGGCGTTCGCGAAAACGATTTCACCGGCGCGGAACGCCGCATCGTCGTTGCATCGCAGTTGCGTCTCCGTTGCATCGCCGACCTTGTCGCGTTTTTTTCCTTTTATCTCTCCTCCCCCTCTGTCTCTCTCTCTCTCTCTCTCTCTCTCTCTCTCTCTCTCTCTCTCTCTCTCTCTCTCTCTCTATCTATCTATCTATCTATCTATCTATCTATCTATCCATCTTCTTATCGTATTACTACAATTGCAACTGTTTAACGCCGCGAATTACGATGATAATTGCAAATATTTCGCAAGTCTCCCTTTCTCTCACTCTTTCTTTCTTTCTGGGATATCAAATCCTTACCGCGTAATTATTACTTTTATCCGTGCATGTACACGTTCTTTAAAGCATGAAAAAAGAGCGGTGAGAACAGAGGTTTCCAAGAACCGCGAAACTTTGGCGCGCAGCGTTTTCCTTTTAATTACGAGAGGCGCGAGGAGAGAAGGATTTCGCCTTAAGGATTTCCTTGGCAGAACCTTTCAACGGCGCGTCACTACCGCCTTGTTATTTTACCCCCCTTCTTTTTTTTCTCTTTCCTTTTTTTGACCGCGGGTCCTGAGCTTGTCCTTCCTCAAAGTCGGTCTCTAGATGCGAAATTATCTCTCAGTGTATACCCTGTAGTGAAGACGAGAGCACCATTTTTATGAGCGCAAAATAATACGAGGAAATGCGGGATATCTTCTAACATGTTGAGATGCACGAAGGTGCAGTTAAATGAACGTTCCATAGAACACACCGTATTAAAATTCATATCCCAAAAGTTGAGCCAATTTATAACTAAATGTCAAATTGTTAAGTCTGCAATGTTATAACATGAAAAATATCTCGATTATCGTCTCTCTCGATGAAAAATTTAATCATGTCAATTAGACGATTCCGCGTCATTATTATTAAATGTAGCAACTAGGACCGTCGTTTTCTTTGATCAATTTCGATCTTACTTTAGTCGATTAGTCGAATATTGCTTCGTCACTTTCTGGTCACTTTATTTTCAAAAAGAGATAAAGAATCGATTATTAAATTGATTTGTAATTGAGTAGATATGAGATAGATGCGAAAGCAATTAGTCGGCCAATATAAACGTCTGCACAATGTCTGAAAGACACATTAATAGCATGAAGACAAACTACCTCTCATTCTCGACATTTTCAGTAAAAGAGAATCAATCTCGAATTAGTCGATAGAGATCGGAATGGGAAAATTAAAATAGAATTCAGTGTTCCTTTGGAATATTCTTAATAATAATATCCTTAATAATAATAACAATTTAAGTTTTATAATGTTTTCAATTATGTAATCTACAAATTGTAATAAACGACTAGAGGATAATAGAACAGAGATACGAAAAATAACAGATAAATAAAGGAACAAATTGAAATATGATGTAGTAAAGCTCAAACCAGAATTAAAGCAAAAAATTATAACATGAAAAAGAACATTGAAAAATAAAAAAATAAGCCTCTTAGGTTAATATTTAAATTATTATTTCAAACAAAAATAGAGAGAATAAATTAATCATAAATGAAGAAAACAAATTAAATAAAATAAATGTCGCTCAAATAATTCTCGGTTACGTTACGCCGCTGCTAAATTTAAATAAAAACGGTATCAAGTATATTATTTAAAAATCGTGTTAAATGTTGTAAAATATGTACGACATCAATTGACTAATTAAACTAGCGCGCGTGTCATACGTTTGTTAATTATAATATTGTAACATATTTTAAGTTAACGTTAAAATTGCTAAATCAAATTATTGAGAAAGAAGAACTCACCAACTGTTCTCGACGTTGTCTCCCCCATGATTGGTCCAACCGCTTCGTCGTTACATGCTGTTAATTCGGAGTTAATTCAAACCGGTTAGTTGCACGCACACGTGTTAGTCATCTGCAAAACAAGAGCACTTGTATGTAGGACCGATAGTTACGTGGTATAATACAAGTTGTAGTTGCAAACCATTTCTCACCAGATCTCTGTTTCTTTCTTTTTTCTTTTTGTTTAATTAGGAAGCTACAGAAAGTTTCGTGACGCGCAATCTATTGTAAAAATTTTACTGTACTCGCTCAAACATATAAATGATAAAAGTGCACTAAGGTAAGTTTTCTGTCTTTATATATATTATAATTTATAAAATAAACACTTTCCTCTCTGCATGATAGACACGCAACGTAATAATAATAATGTTAGATTTATCGCTACAGACTGCGTACCCACTTATTCATTGAGATTATTTTTTATTTTTTTGAGAATTGTAATGGCGAGCCGTAATTCCTGTAATTCCGATTAATCATCGTCGATCCGAGTAACCAGTAGGCGATGGACCGAGCATCCATCACGGGAAAGTGTTTAATTCCGGCCGCCATGTTGCGACAACATCCATCAACGTATCGTTAAACAACGCGTTGGTCGCGCTGATAAGAGAACGCGACAAATGGCGATAAAAATCCTTTCACGCAGCACTATCTCGTCGTGATTAGAAACGAAGTCGGGCAGGAAATAGTTCTCGTCAAATTTAATTCAATGCGACTTGTTGGAAAACATAAAAATTGAATTAAACTTTGATTAAATTTTACGAACTTTATGATTCAAAACCGATTGAATTGCAATGTAGAGAAAAATTAACGACGAAAAGGACGATGAAATGATGAGAAAAGAGGGATAGAATTTCTCTCATGTAAAACTCATATGAAGCACTTTTAAGAATTAAATTTAAGATTATTTACAAATAAACTCTCTAGATGAAGTCAGAGTGTAGGAAAATTTTTATCATTATTGTACCTGTATCGCTCCTCGTTATGTACCATATATATTATCGCTTTTATTATTATTAATCGCTTTTTTCTTGTTAAAGATGTCCTTGTAAGTTGGTAGATGCCTCGGGCATCAACGACTCTCACTTTCGTGGAGTGTGCTTCGGACTTAGATAACAAATTCCAGCAACAAGCTACTCTAAGCTTATCCTAAGCACCATCTACTTCGCATCTTGTTTCAGCCTTATCTGCATAATACCAAGCGTTGTCATCATAATAGCGTTGTTTCGCATTGATGAGGCAAATATTACAAGTCGTCGCGCGAGAGACATCAGTCTTCTATCAAAGATTTTCAGATGTTCCCGAGAAGAATACACGTGCGCATTCAATAGAACCTCTAATGATATTCTCCACATTTCTCGTAACGCACCGAGTCGTCAGGTGGAAAAACCTGTGCTCGTTGCGTGTCTGGTAGAAAGAAAAAAGAAATAAATAAAAAAATAAAAACACAACGGCACGAAGATGGGAAAGCTGGTACGGGCGACGGCAATTGGGGTTTTGCTCCGGTTTCTTATGCAAACGACTAGTCCTTTCTTTCGTCCTGCGCGTCGGTTAATTGCATCGGCGCGTTTAATTGTCCATCCCGTAGAATGCAGCGGCCGTAAAACGTACGATTAAGCGCGCGGATATTCGTTTCGCCGAGACGCGCCTCGTAAATTCACGAGATCGCTCGTAAGGCAACGCGACCCTGCGAGAAATCCCATTGTCCCCATAAACGTAAACACGGAACGATCTTTTTTCCGATTTTACGTGGCAGTCGACTCGATCGATTTACACGGTTCACGAATTCGGCATTAAATAATTATCATGCTCGTTCGTTCGCTCGTCTGTCCGCCCATTCATTCGTCCGTTCGTTCGTTTATTCGTTCGATCGTTCGCCCGTTCGTTCGTACATTCGTTTCAAACATACTCTCCCCCCGAGCGATTAACTTCGTCTGCAATATCAATCTCCATTTACCTTCTGTCACTCCCTGATGATATTATTTCAGCAAATAATTTGGGAAGACCGACTCTTTTTATATATTCGGAACAATCTTTCTCCTCTTATTGTCACTGTTACGAAGCGCTTTTCAAAATAACTCATCCCGTTATAAACAGATCGCGTGTCCCGCCGCCCGCAGAGAGATTATAAAAGCGAATAGCGCATTTCTCACGTCACGCTCTCCTTCGCTGATTTGACGATCGATCGTTTTATCGGCCGGTTATTATTATCATCACGGATGCTGCCTTCGTCAGAGATCGAATTGTCTCTCAGCCATTAATCCTCAGCGCGATCCGTTACACTTTCTCGGTTTCCTGGAAATTCGCGTCTTCGCGAAGTGAGATATCCTCTACGAAATAAACATCGTCGTAGTAAACGTTTTTCCTCCTCAATGGAGATATGCGCTATGTACTATACAGTGGCATGTTTTAACTTGAAATTTGCGGTACTCGCCGAGAGAGGTGTTAAGACAGTCTGCCGGACGGCAAGAAAGCAACGTACTATTTTCGTCGAGCACAATTAGCGGTCGCGATTAAATTGCCGCGCGCGCATTGTTTCGCCTCGAAATAGCGCGCATTTCGCGAATTCGCGCAATTAAAACAGACGCTTTAGTAAACAAATAGCGACGAGCCGTGCTATTGCTTGTGTGTTTGGAGATACACACAACGGTGTAATGCGCGTCAACGCGAGCGCATGCGAGCCAATTATCATGCAAATATTAATAACGCAAACATTAACGTCGACTCGACTGACGTTTTGTCCCACTTTTCCTGTCTGTCTGTCTCTCTCCCCCTCTCTCTCTCTCTCTCTCCCCCTCTCTACTTTACTTTTTTTACCCTTTCACGAAAAATAAGCGCGGTTTATCGATCTTCCGACGCTCTAATAATTTCCATTTTATCTGTTGATTCTTAAAGAGAAACAGCGCATAATTGCATTTGTTTGTTTAGCTTGCTCTATATATATATTTGAACTGCCGTGTAACTTGAATTAACGATAAGTTTACATCAAGGTATGTGTGTGTGTGTGTGTGTGTGTATATAGTCGTGTTAATATAGTTATACGGTAAGAGCAACGTGCGATTAACCTCCTGCTTATATATGCGTATATAATCAAGTATAATACTGAGTAATTCTACTTAATTAATTAATGAATCCGCTAATTAACTCCACCGCTTATCACGATCGCGCTATTAGCACCAAGTCGTAGATTTTCTTCCTCTCTGGAATTCAGCGGCGAGTAAACGTAAGGGAAGGAAAAAGAGATGACCTTTCAAGGATCAACCGGCCGAGAAGAATCAATTTCTCGACGGAACGAAGCTTTTCCCCGGATTGACTTTCATCAGTTTCTCAGAGGGTCCTTGTCGGTTCCGAAAGGATCGACGAATTTGAAATTCGACGTCGCTAATAGACACACGTTCGTGCGAATTCACGTTCGCGTTTCTCTCAAAGTCTGTCGATCTGCCCGCGAACGGGAATTTTATTAGATCATCACATGCGACATTGAAGAAGGAAGAAAAATGGATATCAAGATATTATATCTTAATAGTCGCTCCGTTTGTCTCTCCCGACCCTCCTCCACGATATATACTATTCGCCTTCGGAAATTTCGAAAATGAAATGAAATTCCACGAGAATGTTAAATCTCTCGCGCTGACATAAAGTTCCGCGGTTCGATCGAAATGAACTACTAACTTTCGGTCTCGTTTAGCCAGACCTTGAGACGATCGTGATCCGCCTAGATGCTCGAGAAGGATAACTCGTACCCTTGACACGTCACGACGACAATGATAAAGTGATGATAACGGGACGAGAGACGAGAGAGATAGAAGATACGTCGCCGTTGTAATAGCAGCGGGTACAAACGCTGGAAAATAAGGAGCGTGATAACACGCACAGCGACATATAGTTCCGCACAACGGAGCTTATCAGAAGCCGGTGCAATGAAGAGTCCAATGCTTTGCAGCGACTTTAGAATTATAACATCGACAGAATTTAAAAACAGTTGTGTTAAAACAAATATGGAAAAATATAATATTTACTTATTATCTCACCGCCTCGGTCGAATGATTTTTATGATTTCGATCGTTTTTAAAAAGAACTTAAATTTTTTGCGAGTTATTTCGCTTGCACAAGTGGCATTCTTCGGACTTCTCAACTGCCAAGTGTACAAGGACATGTATGTGTAAATACTTATCATCGAGCCTTCGGTCGACTCATTAGCCAAAAGTTAATTAAGGCTATTTAAATTTGCTATCTTGTGTGTGTGTTTTTCTTTCTCGAATGGCCGTCAATCAATCGCCTTATCAGTCGCTCCCGCGCTCAGGCAACGAATTTAACCCGCCGCTCTTTTCTTGTGAGCGCATCGATGGCTCGAAACGGTTCGACCGCGGAAAACTGCAACTTTCTTATATAAGAAAAAGGAAACGACAAGGGAAAAAATAAGAAGCAACAGGAAGAAAATTCCAGAGTTTGAGCTTCCCGATTAAAAAATACCTCGATAAATTGTTTTACTCGAGTGCTCTCGACGCAACTTCCTCTTGAATTCTCTATTAAATCCTCTCCTCCCCGCGAAAAATGTAAGATCTCTCCTTTCAAAATTCCCGCGAAAGTGCTGAAATCCCTATTTCCGGTTCGATATTTAATTGGTGCTATCGCGCGACACCGCATGTCGAGTACCTGATGATAAAAAAAAAGAAACAAATATAATTGCAACGAATTGACACGAATCACAGTGCGACAAAGGATCGTCAGGTCCTTAGAGTGGGAAGGGGAGAGACAAACAAATGCTTATCGTTTATTTCTCTCTCTCTCTCTCCCTCTCTCTCTCTCTCTCCCCCCTTCCTCTCTTGGTGAGCTCACGATCGTTTATGAATTATTTATCGATCGTTTGAAACGTGTTGCAATGTCTTTGTCTGAATTGCTCGAGTAAATTTGCGTGCTAAAGGAGAGCGCAAATTGCAGGAAAACTTAATTGGGTGACTTGGCGAGAGTCTAGTAAAATATAGCCCGGTAAAGCGTGGCATTGCTTAAACCTCGGCCAAAGTCTTTGCGTGCAACAGCGAAACAAAAGATTCCGAACGAGACGATGAAATCGCA